AAGGAGAGCTAAGGGGGTGAAACACAGGGCTGCCTCCTTTAGACAATGCTCTCCCTTATCAGGGCAGACTGCTGTCTGGTTTCCTGTCTCAAACTCTGGCTTACTGCTTCGGATGAGAACCAGGGTCCAAGAAAGGGACAGATGAGGCTTGAAAATGAGAATACCAAAAACCACCACAATCCTCTTGTAACTCTCTCCGAGATGAATTCAGACTAGAACATTACACATTACCAAACCAGAGTATCAATTGCTTTATGAATCTAGGTTTGGTTTTTTTTTTTTTTTTTTGGAAGTTAGAACCAATGACTGTGAAGCATTCCAGAAAGAAACCCAATTTCCAGAATAATGTAATTCCTAGTCTTTCAAAGATAAGATCGCTTATATTTATTTAGTTTTTTTTCTTAAACACAACTGGTATGAAAAAAGGTAAGAAATACCACCTAAGAAAGCTGTTCACTATAGCAGAAAGGTTGACTTGGAAATATTAAGACAAGTATGTAAAGGGGGAGGGGAGAAATAAAATGGGATTAAGTTAGGAATAATAATTTACATGGTCAAGAGATGAAACGATTATTCCCATTTTTTTCCTTTTATAATTTTAGTAATTATCAGACTGGTATAATTTTTCCAAATTGTTCAGCTTAGCTTTTAAAGGTTTGAAGTTTTTCTTTTTTCCTGATAAAATACATAAGACCCTACTGACATCTATTAGTCTACCTCCCTCTCCCCCAAAATGGGGAGGAAAGGTAACTTGGAATAAGCTAAACAAAGATTCTGTCTACAAAAGCTAGTAGGACTGTTAACAGCTTTGGAACTAAAACTGAAAAAGTTGCTTCGAATTTGGGTTACTTACAAATTTTAGTTTAAAGGTCCCCTGCGCTGTAAGTCAGCTTAGTATTTCAAGTTTGCTTCTCCCAAAGGAGAAAGAACAAATCCTACTGAAACTTCCAAGAGGCCCATCTTTTTTCAAAGAAGGTTATCAGTAACCTTCTATTTGATTCTAGTAGTTTTCTTAATATCATACTATGTACTTCCCTTTACCCATAAAGAATGTGGTGGAATGTGAAGTTAAAAACCAAAGTACTATTATCATCAATTTTGGGGGAGGAGAGGGTCTGATTTGCTGCCGTGGCAACTCTGAATTAATTCTATTAGAGAACACCATAGATAATTCCTTTGGATTTTAACAAAAATCCAAAAATAAGTTTAAAAAGAAACTTGCCAGAAGTTTCTTGTCCAACTCATTTCTTTAAAAACTTAGTTTCTGAAGAACCAAATAGTTAACCTAGAAATGTTAGCCCACAACTGACAGAGTATACCCACCCCCCAAAAATGGGGATTATGAAAAAGCTGGTGTTGTAAGACAATAAAAACAAGAGAAGTCTCCTTCTGTTTTCAGAATATAAGATTAAAATTTTCCAGACTGTCATTAAAATGAATTTCTTATTTCCAGTTCTCCTTTTCTTGGGGCTTTTTATTCTTAGAACAGGTCAGAAATCAGATGCAGAATACAGCGTGGTCCTTAGGAAAATTATCCTAGCACTCCCATCTTTGTCTTTAAAAGAGATGACCCTGGGGCTGATTCCCTCAAATGTAGCTTATGTTTCTAGCTTCAATACTTTTCCTAAATAAAGATCTCTTCCTTAAAAACCTAGGCGAGATTTTCCAATAAGCCCAGTGGGCCAGGAATGCTTCAACTCTCCCTCCATCCAGTGGGGCCTCCGGTCTGGAGCTCCACTGCGACTGGGGAACAAGGGTGTGGCCAAGGGTGGGCCACAGCCTGCAGATAATGCTAGGTCTGGGTGACTGTAAGGTGGCAATCCTCCCCTCCAAAATTGACAGCTTCAGGGCCAAATGCCTATCTCCAAACACACACCCTGCCCACCTCGACACAAGAATGGAAAACCATCAAATGCAACCTCCGTTTAGCCTTCTGGCCAACCTGCACGCGCATTTCTCAGAGTCACACTTTGGTGATGATGAATTTATGAAGGTGCAAGTATTTATTCACTCACAGAAACACACTGGAGCAAAGGGTATATGTAAAAAGGTTAACTGACTCCTCGTTATGACATAACACAGGCCTCTTAGGCAATCGCAAGTGTGTAGAGACAGGATAACTCCCTGGGTGGAGATCGGGAGTTTAGGGGCAGGGACCACAGCCTGGTCCCGGCTACTGATCAACCAGAAAACAGCCTGAAACAGGAAAGAGCACACATATGCCACTTGGAATGTATGACGCAAACCCCAGCCTTGAAACAAAGAACAGGAAACAGCTCTGCTGGCTGTGCTGGAGAGCGAGCAGAGAAACATTGAGCCGGCCCTCCCTGACCCTATATTCATGAGCAGCTGGAGTTTTTTAAGACAACAACAGGGGGGTGGAGGTGTTTGTTCCATGGGTGTGAATAATAACACCAGCTTTATACTGGGGACCTGCCCTATTTACAAATAGGAGCTTCCACATACAGTAAACACCGTAAGTGAACATGTAATTTTATCACATGCAGGCAGCAGAGACCCTTCCTAATGAACACCAGCCTCCTTTCCCATTTCTTTTGTCTCTTTCTCCCCCATCCCAACGGCTGGTCTCTAGCCTCCATCAGATTGGGGGTTAGGGTAATGATCACTGCTCAGCCACAGCATCCTGAGAAGGCAGAGAAAGCTCTGGTAAGAATTCAGAGGACACTGGGTTAGTCCATATAACCGACAACTGGACCAGTTCCGTGTGTCCCTTCACTATACAGAACTATATTCCTAGACACAGAGTGGGCCACCTAGAGTCGCCCCCCAGATTTCACCATCTTTTTCAACTGCATAGTTAGAAACCTATCCGCACCCAGCTGCACATCTGTTCTCCCTGTCCACACATCTAAAAAAATTCACCTTTGGAGAATGTCACTCTGTTCCTGACATTTCATTTAACCCAAGAGTGTCATACAATCTGGAGACCAGAATATCAATTTTTACAAGATATCTGAAAACGTCTATTTTCCCGTAAGTATATTTAAGGTAGTAAAAACCATTCATAGTCTTCCCCCGCCAATTAGGTCTCTTTTTTTGGTTAGTTGGTGAGGACTGTTCAACTCAGGTTTCCACGATCAGAGATTGAACAAAATGTGTTTAGACAAAACTACAGGTAAAAAAATAAATAAATAAAAATTAAAAAGGCATTACAGTGCCCACAGCAACCAGGAGATTGGGTTTTAATTTAGAAACTTTGCAGTGAAAAAACAATAGCATGTTTTATATCTGACAAGATTTTGTGGTCTTAGCAGTTACTTTTCTTTGTTGCTATAAGATTTTTATACCTGCATTCCCCTTCATGAAAGCCAAGTGTTCCTTGAAGTGTATCTTTATTGAGCTCTTTTTCTTCTAATACTTAGGATGCAAACCCCACTGACTGGAAAACTGGAGACAGTTTCCCTAGAGAGTTGAAATTCACCAAACATCTCATTTCAGGTCTCTGTTAATGAGCTAAGGTCAACATATTCCATGCTTGGAGCCAGAAGAAACTCATCTGTCCGTTCTTTCTAACACTAACTCTCAACATTTTGGAGATGTTAATATTATCAGATTGGTTTTCCCCTAAAAGCAAGTCTTTCCTCCAGTGGCAGATTATCATCCAGATGGATTTCTTATAAAAATGCTGCTCGAATTCATACAGAAAGCACTATAAAAAAAAAGTGCAAAATTGCTCAGTGGAAAAACCTATAATGAACAACTGTCTATTCTACTCCATTTTGCTAATAATTATACACTAAATGTAAATGAAGTCAGAATACCACTACATACTTCTCCTCAAATACCAGACTCTTGTGAGAATATAACTGATATATTTAAGTATCCTGGGTGGTATTAGTGGAAAAATGCATTCTGAGCTAGTAAAAAATTCAGTGCAAAATGTTTATTTTAGTGCAATACACGGTGAGCAATTTCCAGTCCGTTTCACCTGACTTATTAAAAATAAGTCCACCTCACACAGATTCTCCATCTATTATCACTGTATACAGCTGTGAAATGTAACGCAGAAGATTCTCCCTGATATCTGCCAAAGTGGATATGACAATTCCAAGTATTATCTGCCATCTCCAAGAAAGCCACTCTGAAATGCTTTAAGTCCCAAGGGTCCAGGTCCAGGGGTCAGTCTCTTAAGTCCCCACACGGCTCGAGTCCCTAACGCTGCAGACACTTGCCGAAGGCGCTCTCCGCCTCCAGCCTCGCTGCAATCCTTGCTCCAGGCACTGCGGCAGGTTCTCGGTGTGCCCCCGAGGAGGACTCTCCAAACCCGGCCAGTTCTTTTCTCCTGCCCCTGAGGATTCAGACGCCCTGGCAGCTCCTGGGCTCCAGGAGCGAGGATGGGATGCTGCCTTCAGTCCCAACGGCCCCAAGTTTCTTCCCAGAGGGCCCGGAAGGCTGCTCCAAGTTTGCTCCGGCGGGCGAGCGGTCGCGCGCCCCGTCCGAAGAGGGGGGCGGCGGGGGGCGGAGAGGGGAGGGCGCGGGAGCGGGGGGTGGGGGACCCGGAGGGGGAGGAGCAGGAGTGCGCGGCCTCCTCGCTACCTTTCTCCAAACAACGTTGCCACACGCGGAGAGCACTGAGATTTCTGGGGCTTTGGAGGGAATCGCGAGCGGGCGGGAGGGCGGGCGGCAGCCGGGGGACCACACAGGTGAGCCCCTGCCCGCGGCCTCACCCGGGCCGCGGCGGGCGCCGCGGGTCTCTGTCCCCAGCACCGCGGGATCCGCACGGTGGCTCCCCCGAATCCCACACTTTCAACCGCCGAATCCGGGGTTCCCCCTCCCCCTCGCCTCCCCTTCCGCCCCCACCCCCGGCTTCCAGGAGCTGTTGCACTTTCCCAAGCCCACAGGCGCCCCCACCCCCGCGCTGCACCCCCGGCCCATTAACTGCGCGACCCCCCTCCGGAGAAAAAAGAAATGAGACCGGACGAGTCAAAAAGGGCGACAGCAGGAGTCGGGGCGAGGGAAGGTGAGGGAAAGGGACTTACTTTTCGAGGCGCGGTGCTGAGCGCTGCAGACGAGAAATAAAGGCCCGGCTCCGAGCCGCCTTGAACCCCGCGAATGCAGTAATGTCAGCGCGCCAGCCGGGGCGGCGGTGGCGGTGGCGGCGCAGGGCACGGGGACAGGAACGGGGACGGGCGCGCGTGCGGCGGGCGCTCGCGCTGCGCTCCGGCTCGGGCCCCGGCTCCGCGCGGCTCCGCTCCTGGCTCCCCTCTGGCTCCTGGCACCAACTCCGGGCAGTCACATGACGCCGGCGCCGCTCGCTCTGCGAGCCTCCCGGGGCTGGCGGGGTAAGTAGAGGCTGGGACCCGGGGTGGGAGGGTCAGGGAGGGGAGAGGGAGCCGCCGCGGCCGCCCGGGCTGGGCGGGTCCCCACCCACTTGGGTGGAGGCAGCCGCCGGAGGGGTCGGCCGAGTCACTCGCGCAAACACGCACCCCGCCCTGCGCCCTTCCCCCGCCACCCCCGCCTCCCGCGCCGCCTCCGCCCCGCCCCGCCCAGTCACCCGGGGACGGCCTGACAGACAGTCATTATTCCCCGGAGCCGGGCGCCGCCCCGCCGGCCCAACCTGTCCGGCGAGGCGCGGGGCGGCCGAGGGGCTGGGCGTGCGCGGCGCGGCCCCCGCCCCGGAGCCTCCGCCCTTCGCCCTCCGCCCCCCACCCCCCGCCCGGCCCGGCCCGGCCCCGCGCACCCGCCCCAGCTCCGGAGTCCCCGCCCGCGCCCCCTCCCTGCGCCCTCGGTCCCCTCCAGTCCCCCGCCCGCTTGGGACCCGCCGCCGCGCCGCCGCCCCAGCCCGGGGGGAAGGAAGGGCGGCGCTGCCCGCTCCGGGCGTCACAGGGCTGCAGCCCGCTGCGCCGCTTCCAAAACACACAGCCGGGCGCGCGGGCCGGCCGAGGCGGGGGACCCGGGCGGCCGGGCCATCAATCAGCCGGCTCCGGCGGGAAGGGCGGCCCCGGGCGCGGCGGGAAGGGCTGGGCCCCGCGGCCGGCGCGGCCCCTCCTGGGCCGAGTGCGTGCAACTCCCTTAAAGAAAAAGCAGGAAAAGGCAGCGGCGGTGAAAGAGCGGGAGGACCGGGGCGGATTCGGGGCAGAAGAGCGGCGGGAAAGGGGAGGGCAGTGGGGAGGACTTAAACCCTAAAACGCTCCCGAGTTTCCAAGGTCATTCGAAGCAGTGTTAAGAGCGATCTTCCTTTGTGCCCGGGACGCTGGGTCCCCTCGTCTCCTCCCCGCGGAGGGGCGGCCCGGGTCGGGCGTGGGGGGCGCTTCCCCGCCGTCCCCTCCCCCGCTCCGGGCTTCTTTGAAGGTCCTGGGACCCCCGGAGGCAAACTTCCCACGGGCCGGGCCTGCCACTGGAGCGAAAAGGCAACTGGTAGCAGCGGCATTTGCTCAGCCGGGCCTGCCTGAAAAGTTGGCAAACTTCGGTCGGGCTCCTCCTGCCCGGAGGGAGGACTTCGGGCCAGCAGAGCGCTCGGCCCGGCGATGTCTCTCTCTCTTTTTTTTTTTTTTTTTTTTTTTTTTTTTTTTGGTCGCTTCCCCGGGACCAAGCGCGAGCGTGCTCGGTGCAGGACGGCGGAAACGCGCTTGCGGTCCTAGCCAGGCCCCTGGGAGAACTTGGTATATAGCATAGCCCCCGAGTTTAATGCTTTTTTGAATTTCTTTTAAACAGTATTAATGTAATAAAGAATGTAATAAAAAGAACAAAGGACAAATTGGTTCAATTGTTTTAGTCCTGCGTAATGTTTAAAAACGCCCTGCTTCAGTGTATGGTTTGTTATTGCTTCAAGATGTTTTAAAGGCCCTTTAAGTTCGCCATTCTCACTTTGATGCCTCATCCAGGCATGGTACTACTTAAAACCTAGAGATACAGTATATACCGAGCTCCATCATGTAGCTACGCAGTATTATAAAATTAGTACCGGGTAACCTCAAGTAGTGAAATTGCACGTTATAAAAAAAAATGCCCATAACATAAAAGACCACGTGGAGAACAGCCAGCTCTGACACTGGTTCCTGTGCCATCTCTCTGTTCCATAAGATTAAGCTTTAAATGTAAAAGGGATGAGAAGTTTCTGTTAACGAGAAAAGGACAGATGCAGGAAAATAAGTTGGATTTGTGTCAATTACTAATTGCAAATCATTGATCACTGACTTCAAATGTCTCATTGGATGGCTTAGATGTGTATTAGCTGAAAGACCGTATTAGTGATGACTGATGAAATCATATTGCATTTCTGGGTCTGGCTCCATAATGGGGGCTCCAAAACCATAGGCTTTGCTCAGAGGACACTAGAGGTGAAAACCTAAAGCACAGAAACCCGTATTCTTTACATTGTTCATGTGTGTGTGGACCCAAAGGAGAAACTTGAAATAGGTCTGAGAAAAGTGTGATCCAAGATAAGCAGGGAGTGGCTTTGATATGGAAGGTGGGGGAAGGAGGAGAAAAGTCCTAAAAAAGTTTAATTAATGAACACACTGTGTTCAGTGCCCTGTGGGAACAGCTGAAACACAGCTTGTACCAAAATGAAGGATCCAGGGGAGGAGACCACCATCCATCCAGGTATCTACCACACCAGAAATGCCTGGAGTCATCTTTGTCTCCTTCCTTGCCCTGGCTAGTCAGAGCACTGTCATTCACTGAATCTTGGACCTCTTCAATCCCTACCCATTCTTTGACCACTCTTCTGGTCCAGCCCACTGCCACAGTGTCTTGTTGGTCATCTTGTTTGTAGTGGGGGGGCTCAAGTGTGGGAAAGGGCTTGGAGCAAGGGAACAATGAGAATACTTTTTCTAAAATGCAAACCTGAACGTGTCAATGTCTTCATTACATTCCCATCGGATAAAGTCCAAGAGTTTACTACCTGTGCTGACCTGGCCTCCATCTATCTTTATAGACCTATCTCCTTCTATTACCCCACTCCCTACTCTGCCCTCCAGCAACGCTCAACTTTTTCCCCTCCGACTCACTCTCCCCACCTCTGGGTCACCACACAGGTGACATGCTGATTCTTCTAGGTGGACTAGCCTCCTTGCTTTCTCCCCCAACTCCTGGCTTCCACTCTCATTTCTGTACATTGTTTCCATCCTTTAACTATTGACTTACATGACATTTTCAACAAAATGGTTCTTGTCTTACCACCATCCCTCACCCCACCTTTGAATGAGTGGAGGCGCTCCTTCTTGGTGCTCTGATAGCACTCACGCTCCACCTCTTGTAACTCTTTCTTATAACTGGTTATTTAACTCTCTTTCCATGACTCTGAAATAAGAAACTCTGTGAGGACACGGACATTGTCTTTTTAGCAAAATTGTATCCTTGTGGTCCAGGTGCTCAATGTATATTTGTAAAATGAACAAGTGTCAGCTATGAATTGGGAAGAAGTCATTCAGAGACTAAACAAATGAGAGAAGAATTGGTGAGGGTTAAAGTGGCAGTGGCCATGAACTGTATATACCTTTGAGATAGTGAAAAGGAGGGACTTCTCTCTCCCTGAATATCTTCGAGCAGTAGAGTGACATGGTCAAAGTGGCACCTGGGTCTTCTTTTTATCCTTAACATTAGCACAGTGCCCGCACTTGCTCGGTTGTTCAAGACCATCCCCATAAACGATATATCTCAGTCTTGGTCCTTGTTCTAGCTGCTTTACTCTTGTTCTTTGAGGGCAGTAGGTCTGTCTGGTTTAGGTTTGGGGCAGCACATACTGGGGGAAGGATACCCGTCCCTGGCCCCAGCCTTTCTGCTCCCAACCAGTTACGGCAGTCCTGGTCTCTTTTGCCAGTGACTGGCCAGAGAGTAGTAGATAGATGACATAGTTCTGGCCAGTAGGACAGGAAGGGAAGTGTGCTGGGGCTTGTTTTTCATGCTGAGTGAAGGAAACTCTTGCAAGGATAAACTCCCAGACCTGCTTTGGGAGTTATGTGAGAATGTGATTCTTGAAGCTGTGGCAGCCATCTTGTAAACATGATAGGAAACCAAGGTTTCAGATTTCCATACGGAGAGCTCTTTATTCATCATTAGTCGTCAGGGTCTGGTAAATAGAAGGTGTTCCAAAAGTAATTGTTGATTAATGGCTGACAACTAAAGAGTAACAGTATGTTGAAACTGATTCAGAGCTGCGTGGACCCAAACTACTGCACACCGCCATTTTCTCTTCTGTGGCTTGTATCATAGTTAGCTCCATTTCAGGAGATCTCTTTCTGCTATGCAATGACATATTCCTAAGATTCCTTCTTCTCCCACTCTACTTTAGAGCTTTTCCATTCCTTCCCACAGGAAGCTTTAACTCACTGAGCCACCCAGGCACCCCGAAAGTTTCTCTTTTTCATTTGACAATGCATATTACAAAGGTAAAAAAGTGTCATGTGTTTAAGAAATTATGAACAACACAGATAATATCTACCTTAAAGGATAACAAAGCCATATAGTTTTTTCTTTTTTTTTTTTTTCCTGCTAGCTTTTTTGAGATATTATTGGCCTATAGCATAGGTAAGTTTAAGGTGTATGACATGGTGGTTAGAGACACCTATATATTGCAAATGATTGCCACAATAAGGTTAGTTAACATTTCCATCCCCTCATGTATGTGTGTGTGGTGATGACATACATAAACTTACCCTCTTAACAACTCTCAAGGACATAACACAATATTGTTCATTATATTTACCATGCTGTACATTAGATCCCTAGACCTTTTTCATTTGCTAGCTGGAAATTTGTGCCCTTTGACTGACATCTCCCCATTTCCCCCCTAGCCCCTGGAAACCACCGTTCTACCGCCTGTTTCTATGAGTTTTAGCTTTTTTCGATTCCACGTATAAGTGAGATCATACAGTATTTGTCTTTCTCTGTCTGACTTATTTCACTTAGCATAATGCCCTCAAGGTCCATCTGTGCAAAAGGTAGGATTTCCTTCTTTTTTAATGTGTGTGGGGGTATATATGTGTGTGTGTGTATATCTGTGTTGTGTGTGTATGTGTTTGTGTGTGTGTATACTGTGCGAGAGTGAGAATGAGAGAGAGACATTTTTTTAATCCATTCATCCATCAGTACTTGTTTCAATATATTGGCTATCATAAATTATGCTGCAATGAACATGGGAATGCAGCTA